GAACATTGTCAAAATAAAACTCTGTGATCCATTCTCATGAAAGGACAATGTTAGGGAACAAGGATAAAGCGGTTAAAGCTTTTTAATGATTATCTAATTCTGATACAGGAATTATCAGAAAATGTAATCTCCGGGGTTACAGCTTAGAAATCACCTATGTAAGTGTGAAGTGTAAGCCGCTTCAAGGAGAAGTTAGCAAGGCCAAATTCTCTATACACTTATGAAACCAGGAGGTGTTCATGGCTGAAACGAACACAACAATGAGAACCAAAGACGTTTAAGGGTTAATTGTGTGACTTATGTTGTCTAGATATACACCAAAGCTCGACGGTTCAAAGATATCAAATCTACCGATTGACCGAGTATATCCGATATAAGTTCACTATGGAAAGTTCAAAGGGAAACCTACTTATCCAAATGCAGCTAATCCTTAATTGCAAATCACACAGTTTTTTTTTATGCATATCCTCTTCTTTTAGGCCATTCCCCATTCACGTGGGGGATTGTTGGAATTTAAAGACATGAATTGTCTTAAATTAAGTGGAGTGAAAGGGAAATGGAGGAAATAATTTTTGGAGGGAAATGAAAAATTCAAATTCATTAAGTCTTGCAAAGTGGATTGTCCCACATTGGATGGGGAAACCATCCAATATGTGTTTATATTGAGAAACACATTCTCTACCTCTCAAAAGGTTGAGAAGAAGGGAAACCCCTCGCGCCGCCGTCGTCGCTCGGCTCGGCTTCGGCTTTGGCTTCGGCTTTGGCTTTGGATTTGGATTTGGATTTGGTCAAATGATCGATAAGATTAATTTTTTGGACCTAATCTTAATTAATTAATTGACTGTTTCCTCCTATTATTATTATTATTATTTTTTTATATTAAAAGAAGTTAACAGTCGTGTCTGTTAACCCAACGTTCTTCTTTCCAACAGTCGTGTCTGTTAATAGACATGCCATAACTCCATTCCTGAACAGGTCTGTTCGCACCTGTTTAGGTAGAATCATTGGCCTATAAATTCCAGAGGCTTTGCCTCATTTAAGTACTCAGTTTTTTTTTTTACAGACATCACTCTCAAAACTCACCTTCTTCCTAACTAAATTACTGCATCGTTTTCATCAAAACAAAACAGTAAGTCGTGTGATTTGCAGCGTATCTTTGAGTTCGTTGGAATTCTGTGATTTGTATTGCCACTATCACAGAAACGTTTTTCCGTTCTATCCTGGGAGGAAGTAACCCATAATCCTTGGCAACTGTGGGAGGGTTATAATTCCTTAAGGAGACACAAGAAATTTGTGGGATCGGATTTAACATTCTGCTTCATCTCTTTTTCCGTTTTTTTGTTAAACATCTTTCGAACCAGAATACTGTTGTTAACATATATAATAATAGAATTTTATGTCTACATATGCAAAGCAGTGTTACAGAATTTTATTTCTGTTCATGGTTGCAAATCCATTTTCTTTGGGAAGCGAGTGCTATTCTAGTCTTAAAAGTGTCCTTTTTTGTCTATCTAATTAACTAATTCCTTCTAAAAAGTAAAGTCATAACAAACAACATCAACCACAACAACATACCTAGTGTGATTCCACAAATGTGGTCCAGGGAGGGTGGGGTAAGTGACGAAGCAAAAAATTTACCTAACATGTTCAAATTTGAAAGAAGTAAAAACTTCTCAATTTAATATTTTACCTATATACGCAGTTTAATTTTTCGACGAAGGTGGTCAATTTTAAGACATGTAGCTTCGTCCCTGGGTGAGGTATACGCAGACGTTATCCCTACCTTGTGTGAGGTAGGGAGACCGTTTCCATAGACCAAAGAATTAGGGGCATTCCGAGAATTGAACTCGGGACATTAAAAGTAAATTCATCAATAGAGAAAATAGAAAACTTGGATTCTGGGTAATATGAGAGTCCACAATATTGTGGTGTATGCTCCCATGAAAAAGCAATTTCCTTTGGTGCCACCATATGACATTTCTTCCCAGTCTTCTTATCAAGTGAAAAGCTCTATTCAAGATATAAAATCACAGATACAAAATGCATCAGAGGAAAAAAAAACATGTTATTCACAGCGTTCTATTATTCAATACAATTTTCACAACTTTCAAGAATTCAAATGTTAAACGTTGATGGGATGAACTCTAGAACTCAACATTTTGATATTACTTCAATAATTTTTCCACTATTACTAATACGTTACATAAGTCAAGTTAATTTTTGAAACTTCCCCATGCAGTCAAAGACCATCATATAAAATGAGACAGATGGAGTAACATTCACAAGTAAAATAAAGAAAATTAAAAAGCATAAATTGCAATTTTGGTCCTTAAATTTTATGAAAATACAACAGTGTTCCATCTAGTTAGACAAAATAAGTTAAAAATCGTATATATGGTCACACATTAAAAATAAGAAATCAAAACACAAATTTATGTTTTCTCACGCCGATGAGCACATTGAACTATCCATGAGAGCCCGCATAGCCCAGGCAAGCCGACACAATTATTAAAGGTGCGCTCTACCGCTAAGCTAATAATAGCCCGTCGTGCAAGCCTCCCACCGGGGCCTGCTAATGCCAAAAAGCGAGAGAAACTCCATCTCTCTCTTTCCTTTTTTCGCCCCCATGTCACTGTAGACATCGAAATTTTAAGGGATCAAGCCAAATCCTTAATTAAAGATACTACAGGACTCTTGAAATCCTAGGAGTCTATTAGGGTTTCTTGGAAGTTACTCTACCCTAACCCTAAATCAAAGCTATAAAAAGGGTCGCATATTCCCTTTGAAGAGGAGTCTCAAAATCCCATAAACTCTTGGGATATTCACAAAGAGATCAAAATATGGCCGGATATTTCTTGACAATCAAATAGTTCAAGAAGCTGGAGATCAAATACATCCCCAGGAGGTCTGTATCATCCTACATTCGAGAAATACGCGGCTTCAACCCTCGAGTCACGGAAAAAATCAGGAGAGAAGAATAAGGGAGAAACAGAATTGTACCTACAATTGATTAGTAAAAATATTTTTCTCTTATTTTGTGATTGCAGTTTATTTTTCATATGTTGAAAATTAGTTGCAAACAAATAAGAGATCAAAGAGATCAAATATACGATTTTCGAAATTCCATAAAACTCTTGGAATATTCATTAAGAGGTCAAAGACATGTCAAATATGTCTTGCTCAAAGTTCTAGCAACATTCAAGATCCAAATGGAGTGCTGCTACATGCTTCTTGATCATCAAATACATCAAGAAGATGCATATCATCCTACGTTCTAGAAATACGCTGCTAAGGCCCTCGAATTACGAATAATAAATAGGAGGGAAGAATCAAGAGATAAACAGAGTTGCAACCCACATCATTTTATCAATAAAATTATGTTTCTTCATATTTATATTGTGGTTGCAATTTATTTTTGTATCACATATAATTTGTTGCAAACAAATTGGCACGCCCAGTGGGACCAGTTCTGCCCTTCATCTCTTTCTCCTGTAAATCGGAAACTACAAGATTCAAAATCAACTATTGTGATGGCCTTCAGAAATAGCAATGGTGCTCTAAGTAAGGACGTTATTGCAGCCACATGTGCCGATCTCTATTATATTGGCCCGATCACTCGGTGCATGTTCAAGACCAGTTGCTGAAACGGTTGCCCAAAGAATTTAAGTTCTTTATTTAAAGGCGAGAAAAAAAAGTATTACTTCAATTCTCGTCTTTGAGGTCCGGCAAGCTTCCCCTCGACAAACCTTGAAGTAGGGGGCATTTGTAGACATCGAAATTTTAAGGGATCAAGCCAAATCCTAAATTAAAGATACTACAGGACTCTTGAAATCCTAGGAGTCTATTAGGGTTTCTTGGAAGTTACTCTACCATAACCCTAAATCAAAGCTATAAAAAGGGTCACATATTCCCTTTGACGAGGGATCTCAAAAAAATGGAGATCATCTCGAAAATCCCATAAACTCACGGGACAAGAGATCAAGAAGTGGCCGGATAATTCTTGATAATCAAATAATTCAAGTAGGTCCACAACATACTTCATGGATATCAAATAAATCCATGAAAGCCCGTATCGTCCTACGTTCGAGAAATACGATCAAGAGAACAAACAGAATTGTACCCGCATCATTTTATCAATAAAATTATGTTTCTTCATATTTATATTGTGGTTGCAATTTATTTTTGTATCACATATAATTTGTTGCAAACAATCACCACACGGGGAAACATTGGGACATAAAAAAGGGGATCCTATTAACTTGTTTTCAAAGAACAAAGCAATAAATCAAAAGATTATAAGGAAAAGAGGATATACCAGTTTGCCTCCATCAAGAGAATTGGCGAGTTGCAGAGACTGAAGTAAAGCTCTTTCTTTGAAGAATATACCAAGAAAGAATCTGATCTATTGATAATATGTTGATAATCAGAACGCAAAAAAATCTCCCAAACGGCGTCGGATTCAGCGATAGATTTGAATCCTCGCGACACAGCTGAAGATTTAGCAGCATCTTTTGGCGAAGTGAAAGAGAAAATTTCTGATATGCAACCATCTGGCAGAAATAGAAAATACTCCATGGGAAAAAATCAGTTGATTAAAGTTGCTTAAAATGAATGATTAATTAAAAAACAAACTTATTCCAGTGTGTTTCCACGTATTTGCTTGAATATATTAATGGGATTATGGGACCTAATCAAAACAAAGTCCCTTTCAGAAACTTTGATTATATTAATGGGATTGGGACAGCTAAGTCAACCAAAGTCTTTGTTAAAAACCACCAGAATAAAAGGCAGCCTTGCGCACTGAGCTTTCGCTAAGTTCGGGGTCCGGGGAAGGGCTGGACCACGAGGGTCTATTGTAGGCAAACTTACCCTATATTTTTGCAAAAAGCTGTTTTAGCGGCTCGAATCAGTGACCTCAAGATTACATGCAGCAACTTTTTCAGTTACGTCAAGGCTCCCCTCAACGACAAGGAAAAAGAAAAAAAGAAAACGTAAAGAGAAGAAGATTTAATCTTTTGATAGAAAAAGTAAACATACAAAGAAGTCACGGGGGATTCAACACTTAATATTTATACATAAAATAAATTAGCCTCCGCCCAATGTAATCAAGACGTCTCTTTTGGGCAAGAATGAATCAACCCAACTTGAACGCACCTCAACTACATTATCACAACTTCTATTCTATTATTTGGGGCGAAACTCAATTCCTTCAACAATGAGGCCGCCTTTTAAATGAAGACGTTTTATCTCAATTAATCGCGCTTCTACAGGTCCATCGCCGCCTTTCTTGCTATTGAAATCTCCCATTTTTACTTCCATCCATCCATCTGCTCTCATACTTGCAAACTTTCCATTTTTAAACTGTAAATAGCCTCCATTCCTTCTACTTTCGGGCAATGTTTCGAGTTTCACAGTATTGGCTTGATTTTCAGTATCAGTGTCACTCTCATAATCAACAAACCTAACAATTGCATTGGCAGATTCAAGGCCATAGGGATTATCAACCAATTTGTACACTAAATAAGCACTATAATCTGTCTTTGGTGACAACATTTTGGTTCCTATCTTTCCGCGGATATCCAACCGACGTACAGAACTAAGAGATGCAACTTCAGAGAATCTGCAAATGTGTTGCATATAATATTTGTAAGTAAAATTTGGAAACTGCATTCCTTTTATCAAACAAGTGAATAAAGAATCTTTAAGATAACTAAGAAAATGACTAGATCATAATCTTGGAAAAACAATAACAACAACAACAACAACAACGAACCAGTTAAATCCCACTAGTGGGGTCTGAGGATGGTAGTGTTTACGCTGACCTTACCCCTACCCCAAGGGGTAGAGAGGCAATCTTGAAAATAAAGGGAAAAGAAAGAAAGAGACAGCAAATGCATTGAATAAAGCAGGTTTATACATACAGATACAATCATTTGTCATGGACATGACTCTCGATAGGAAGATGTGGAGGTCGAGAACTAGGGTTGTGGGTTGACAGGTGGTTTCTCCTAGTCTTACAAATAGTATTAGTACCAGTCTTGCATTTCCTAATTCCTAGATCCTTGGCTTTATACGGTGTGTCATTCTTACCGGTAGTATCGGTACTATTTTTGTATTTTCTTAGTCCTAGGTCTTTGTTATAACTCGTTGTGCCATTTGCTTCCGTTGTCCTATGTTGTTGCTATTGTTTAATGCTTCCATTCTATTGTTCTTGAGCCGTGAGTCTATCTGAAACAACTTGTCTATCTACTTAAGGTCAGGGTAAGGTCTACGTACCCCAGACCCCACTTATGAAATTACCCTGAATTTGTTATTGTTGTTGTTAATCGTTTGTTATCTTCTTATACATATAAAGGGAAGGAGGAAGGGTGGAAGAAAACCATAGACGAATAAGTGATGAAAATAAAAAGAGAACAAACCTAGAGTCCGGATGAGGCTTCCATTGCCAATGGTTTAAGTTATCTCCCCACGAAATTATAAGCTCTCTTGGTGCTACCATGAAACACTTCTTCCCACTGTGCTTATCAAGTGAAAAACTCTGAAAAAAGAGTTTGAATTAGAGATGCATTTACACAAGAATCATGGTTTGGCACTTAACTGAGAGAGAAAACAGAACAAAAAAGAAGAATATTACTCTTTTCATCTCAAATTTAATATATAGTACTCCCTCCGTTCCATTTTGTGTGGCACGATGCCAAGTACAAGGGCAAAATTCTTAATTTTGACCGTAAAATTAGATATAGGTTATTCGAGATATTTTAAAAATAAATTTACATATTTGAAAACTACATGGAGTATAATTCATAATAATTTACAATTCAAAATACATACAAAATATTTTTAAAAAAATATGGTCAAAAAAACAACCTGGTTATGTGGAACGGAGGGAGTACATCTTAAGTTGCATTATTGCCTATAAAAAGAGTAAACTAAATTTTATTAAAAAGAATGTTATTCAGTATGATCCCTCTCGAAAGAAAAAATTACAGAAGCACCAAAAAAATGGGCACCAAAAGGTGTGAACCTATGGAATTTAGGTGAAAATCGTGACAGATTAGGGTTCAAATTTTCATTTGCCTAAATCATAAGAGTTAAAAGGGGCAGCATCCCGCGTTCATGTTGGGTCCGTAAATCTCGAAAAGTGTAATGTGAACAGTGTATCCTTATGCATTGCTTCCAGTAGATATGGTAAAATAGTCCAGTCGCAGAAGTGGACCAAATACCACCGTCATTAAATAAATAAATAAAAAAACATAACAAATATAAAAGATAACGATTCAAAATAGGTTTTTACCAGTTTGCCACCATCAAGAAGAATGGGAGATTCACACAGACGAAAATAAAGCTCTTTTTTGGTTGTACAAACAGAAGGAGAAAACTCTGATCTTTCAATTATTTCTTGATAATCAGAAGGCAAAAATCTTTCCCAAATAATTTCTGATTCTAAAGCAGACTTGAATCCTCTTGATAAAATGCATGATCTCACTGCATCTACTGGAGTTGTGTGTGAAAGAATTTCCAATATGCAGCCTTCTGGCAATCTTTCAAAATAATTCATTGGAGCAATAAACTTCAAGTCAAGAATAGAACCGATTTCTTTTTCTTTTTTTTTGGTTCCAAGATTTATATACAGACAGACGTATATGTTTTCAATATTTGCTTAGATTTTAAGCATGTGTGTTGAATGCCTAGCTGGATAGGAATAAGATTACTACTAAGATTTTTGCAAAATTTAATTTACTGCATCATAAATAAATAGGAGTAACTGATTTTGTCAAAGGTTCTTTTTTTGTTTTTGTTTTGTTTTTTTGGTGTTATTGGTGGAATTCTGTCAATATAAGGAAAAGAAAAGAAATTTAAGACATTTATTTGTTGCCTATTATAATTTATAAAGTACAGAAAAGCATATAATTATGTTTCTTTTAATGTAGATTGACTAAATAAATGTTTCTCTTATTGTAGATTGAATAAATAAAAGAGTCAAACTCATTCAAACAACAATTACTACGACCAATCCTCATTCCTCAATCCGAAGAAAGTGGAAGTAGGCTACTTGAATTATCATTGTCCATGTTGTTACATTTAAGTTTTTGACCAAAAAAAAAAAATATTTAAGTTTATCTTTATTATAGAAAAAAAAATATATTACTCCTTCCATCCTAATTCGTATGACGAAATTTGACTCACTTTAAAAAAATTATGGTCTAAGACGACCATCTCCAACCCTAACACCAAATTTCACACCAAAATGGTGTAACACCAAATTTACTCCAACCATTACACCATTTTTTTCCACCAAAGAAAAATATTTGTTCTCTCTCTTCTATATTATATTATTATCTTCTATTTAAATTTTATTTTTTATTTCTATCAAACAAATTCTATCTTTTTTCTTTTTTTCATATTCATCATATATAATTCACATTCACCACTTATATAATCATTTATTACAAAATTATTTTATTGACGAACTTGAATTCCATTGACGATCCAAATCTTCGTGAATTTTTGCGACAAGAACAAAAACGAATAATCGATAAAAGAAGTCAACAATTTCAACAACCACAAGCGCAACAATCTTCTAACCCGTTCTCTCAGTTTTTTGGTAATTTTGGTGCACCTGGAAATGACATAGCGGATTACTAAACTTATGTTCTATGTTTTTTAATGTAATTTCAATTTTAATGTATCCTCCTTTGATGTACTTTGAATTATAATGTATTTTTATTTTATGTATTGTTAATTTTCTTTTTTAAATTTTAGTTTTCACTTTTAAATTTTAGCAACATTAGATATCTTACATTTGCATTTTTTTTTTGGTCAAACAATAAAATTTTATTCAACCAAGTAGAATATATACATCCACTAGTTCTTTTTTACTCTAGAACTAGTCCTAAACTTTACCCTAATTACAATTACTCCTCCCCTCTATATATCTACTACACTGCTAGTCTATACTAGACTTGGGTATGAGTTTAATCTATCAAGTAATCTTTTCCAATTGCTTCTAAGTTGTCCTTTCCTATGTAATTGAAAGGTAATCTCTCTTAGTCTTGATACACATTCCTGCTGCTGTTCTTGAAATCTTCTAGCATTGCGTTCAATCCAAACGTGGTAAACAGTAGCAACTAATAGCCATCCTAGCACCTCTGCATGTGCTCTGCTGTTACATTGTTTGATCGTTAATCTCTCAATCTCCTCTTCCCAGGTCCCTACTTGCTTATTTTCTCCTATCCATCGTAAGAAGGAGCTCCACATCTGTCTGGAATAATCACATTCAAAGAACAAGTGAGTGTGAGTTTCTTCAATATCAGCTCTGCATAGTACACAGTTCATAGGGACTTGTATTCCCCATTTAGCCATTCTGTCTGTTGTACTAAGTCTCCTTTGAAGTGCAAGCCAAAGTATAAATTGATACTTTGGTACTGAACATGGAATCATATTGAGGTTTCTCCATATAGCTCTAGGATATTGAGGGAGTAAGTATTGATATGCCTTCTTGATCATGAACTTCCCAGCATCAGTGAGTTGTTGTAATTCTTCGCACACATCATTTCTCCCGTACTATTTCCTTGCATCAAAGATTTTCCTAACAAGCCAACATGCTTGCCTAAGTGTCTCCATAGTACTGGTGCTTCTACCCTTACTATAGAAACTGTGGATCCATTGCACCTAGAGGGTGTCCTTCTTTGCTGTGATAGCCCAGAGCAATTTTGATATGGCTGCTTTATTCCATGTTTGAAATTCGATTATGTTCAAGCCCCCTACTGATTTTGGCATACATAATCTCTCCCATGCGACAAGGGCTCTTCTTGATGTTGCACATTGTCCAGTCCACAAGAATGTTCTACAGGCACTTGTTATTAGCTGCAGCACCTTCTTTGGAATCAGGAAGATCTGCGACCAATAAGTTTGGATCTCAAAAAGTACACTCTTAATAAGCTGCACTCTGCCACTATATGACAGGAATTTTGTAGTCCAACATCTGATCCTTGCAATCATTCTTTCCACCAGGGGCATACATTGTTGAACTGTTATTTTTTTTGAAGACAAGGGGACACCAAGGTACTTGAAAAGGATCTCTCCCATTGCAAAGTGCATCTCCTCATAGATTTGGTTCTGCAACTGTTGGTCCACCCCTGTTATATATAGAGAACTCTTTTCCATATTTGCTTTGAGGCCTGAGACTGTAGAGGAGTGTTCAAATGCCTGCATCATCAACTGAATAAACATTTTATCAGCTCTGCAGCACATTATTAAGTCATCTGCAAAACAAATATGGGTTAGTTTCATTTTCCTGCATCTTGGGTGATGGTTGAAGTTGGGATTTTGGATCAGCTGCTTCAAGGATCTGTTCAGATACTCCATTGTCAATACAAATAGGAGTGGTGACATGGGATCTCCTTGACGTAGTCCTTTCTTTGCTTGGAATTTAGGGGTGAGTCCTCCACTAAAGATAATAGAGTAGCTCACAGTCGAAACACACTCCATGATGAGTTGGACAAACTTAGCTGGAATTCCAAACTCGAGTAATACCATTCTCAGAAAGTCCCACTCAACATTATCATAAGCTTTCCTGATATCTACTTTCACTAGACATCTAGGGGACATTCCTTTCCTGTTGTAACCCTTGACTAGCTCATGTGCCACAATCACATTATCTAAGATGGTCCTACCTTCAATGAAAGCTGATTGTGCTGGCCCAACAATTTTGTCTACTACTTGCTTGAGTCTGCTAGTAATCACCTTGGCTATTAGTTTGTACAATGTTGTACAACATGCAATGGGCCTGAACTCCTTGACATGAGTAGGATTTGGAACTTTTGGCACCAGTGTAATGGTTGTAGTGTTTATCTCCTTAAGTATCTTCCTTTTTTCAAAGAACTGAAGAATAGCTTTTATAACATCATTTCCCACTGCATCCCAGTTAGCTTTGAAAAATTCCACAGGAAAGCCATCACCCCTAGGGGCTTTGTCAGCTGGTAGATCATTCAGAGCTTTTAAAGTTTCCTCCTTATTCACTGGTTTTATCAACCCCTGCTGTTCCTCCTTATTTAGACAATAACCATCTTTTGCAATGTCACTGTTCAAACAAGGCAATTCTGCAGCTTTTGTACCCAGCAGTTCTTGGAAAAAATTAATAAACTCATTCTGAATTTGGCTTGGATCAGTCAGCATAGTCCCTTGGTCATTACATATTGAAGATATATGATTCCTTGCTTGTCTAGTCTTCATTTGTGCAAGGAAATATCTTTTGTTTGATTCTCCCTTTGCTAACCATACAGCCTTAGACTTCTGTCTGAGCACCTCTTCATGTATGTTAGACCATTTCTCCAATTCAAGGATCAGCTCCCTCTCCTTTTGGATCAAATTTGGACTGTATAGATCAGAGTTCAGCAGTAGTTGAGTGTCCTGTAATCTCCCTCGAGTGTCTTCAACCTTCCTTTCCACATTTGATACCTCTTTCTGGAGGTGTCTTGTGTTTAGCTCAATAAGTTTGAGCTTTTTGCATATGCCATACATAGTGTTCCCAGGAACTTCATATTGTCATGTAGTTTTGGTCATTGCCTTGAATTCCTCATTTTGAAGAAGAATGTTAAGTAGTCTAAATGGCCTAGGAAGGTTTTGTCTTCTGCTCCCAGTGTTGACAATAATAGGAGAGTGGTCAGAGCATTCTGGGCTAAGATAAACTGCTTCCAATTGTCCATAATCATCAAACCATTTTGAATTTCCAAAGGCCCAATCTATCAAACTGTGTATTCTAACATGTGCATCTCTCTTATTACTCCATGAAAATAGATTCCCTGTTCTTTTTAGTTGACCAAGCCCTATGTCTTCAATACACTCCTGGAAATCCTTTACTTCATTTGGATGTATTGGGATACCATTTTGCCTATATTCACAGAAAGAACAGCATTGAAATCCCCCAGTACAATCCACGGATCAGCAATATTGTTATTCAAATTCCTTAGTCCTTGCCACAAGGCCCTCCTTTCATTTATGGTATTCAAGCCATAAACAAATGTTATCTGACTAGTAAAAGTTGATCCCTTGTCGTTTACTATGCAGTGCACAAATTGAGGCATAGATGTTACTATTTGCACTTCCACTTGTTGAGGCTTCCAAGCAATCCATATTCTACCATTTGGACTTTGAGTGTAATCAGCAGCTATTTCCCAATCATTCCCCATTTTCTTCTTCACTTTTTCAGCTTTATTAACTTTTACTTTTGCCTCAAGAACACCTATCAGAACTACCTTATTTGTAAGTAAGAAGGTCTTGAGTTCCTTCTGCTTAAAGGGCTTATTCAGCCCCCTTATGTTCCATGAGCAGAAGATCATGGAGGAATCTCCCTCGAAGGACACTGTTCCCTTATCACAGTTGAAGTGACTATCATTGGTTGAATTCTTAAAGCACTAAACTGATTTTGCCTCAACAGCCTCTCAATCTTTTAACTGTCTTCACACAATTGACTTTGTACTTCCTGTTCATGAGTGATTTCTAATTTTTTCTTGCCCCTGTTCTTGGCCTGTTGCACCTGGAATTCCAAACTCATGTGTTGATCTTTTTCATTTTGGTCACCAGTTGTTGCTTCTACTTCTTTTGGCAATTCTGATTGCGCTTGTTTTTCAGCATTTGTGGCTGGCTTTGTAGGCTGTTGATTCTCTTTTACTCTCCAGCCCATCTTCGGTTTCCTTGTTTGTTGTTTTCCCTTTTCAAGTGTGGTCTTCTTACATTCACCATTCTGATGCCCAATGTTCAAGCAGCTTTGACAGTACAAGGGTCTCCACTCATACTCAACGTTTTGCAGTTTACATTTACCTCCTGGTATTTCAATTGATACCTCTTCCGGAAGTTCAACTGAAACATCCATTTCAATTAGGATTCGTGCGTAGGACACTCTTTCCCCTTTGGTTGTTAGTTTATCCGTGCATATTGGCTTTCCCAAACAACTTGCAATTCGACAAGCTACTTGGTGCCCAGTATTCAACAGGTAGGTTTGGAAAAGTAACCCAAATTGGAATAACCTGGAGAGGTTCTTTGCTCATCTGAAATTCTGGTTCCCAATGCTTGAGCACCATAGGTCTGTTGTTAAATGTGAAGGGTCCATTCTGCAGTAGGGTCTCCTTATCATTCTCAGACATGAATCGAAAGATGAAATACCCATCGTTGTGCAGAAAGACTTGAGGAGTAACAACAAAGTTCCAAACCCCATACACATACTTCAACATTTCCTTGAATGTAGGGTTTCCCCCAATTACATAGCCAATTAGAGCCGACTTCCATTTCTGGCATTCCTCTTCAACTTCTGCTTGTACTAATTTTACGATTTTCCTCCCATCTGTCATTATTGGGGGAAAATAGTCTAATTTCATCCCTAATTATAGAGATCTGTTACCTTGCACAACTTCAGCCGCCGTAGGTTTTGTCATTTCCCCTATTGTAGAGAAGGTAAGTTTTCTTGCTACTGCTGCTGCGAATGTGCCTTCGTCTTGTTCTACAGGAGTGTTGATGTTCTCCGGTGGTCTTCCTTGCAAAATTGTTGGAGCACTTCCCATTCCTGTAAGCCATTGACCAAATTGCCTTGGTTCTAAGTCCTGAGGGATTTCATTTTCTGGTGTGATTATCCTAGTAGGTTCTTCCTGTTCTGTGGAGGGTGTTGACGTCGTCGGAATTCGTTTTCTCCGCCGAGCCATGGTTGAAGGCGCACGTTAACAATCGTTGACTAACATGCGCAGCCAACCCTTCCCTCGTAGCTTCTATCCCTTTTTCATTTTTCATTTTTAAATGATGGTTATATTTGTTTTTATACAATTATAATAATAATAAAATTGACTTATAATTTTATATAAATATAATATATACAAAAATAGGATATAAAATTAAAATTATAAAGATCTTAATATAAAAATTAATTATATACACAATATATCATAAATTAAAAGTCCAAAAAAAATAAAAAGATGAATAAAATAATAATAAATCAAATTTGGTCTATAATGGTGCAAGATTTGGTGTTCCATTGGAGCAAATTTTACACCAAATTTAGATTTGGTGCAAAAAAATAGTGCACCCTTGGAGATGCCCTAAGCAACAAATCATAGATATTTGAGTGGCTGTAGCCTATAAATCAATTCATTAAGGTTAAAATATGAATTCTAAAGATAAATTATTTTAAATAAAGAAAAGTAATATTTTTTTTTTGAGATTGACTAAAAAGAAAAGAGTGCCACATATATAGGAACGAAGGAAACAGATGATATGCATATTTTACTAGTGGCACATAAATCTATGATAGCACTAAAAGAACACACTCGACCTAAAGTAAATATATTAATATGAGTAAAATTGTATCTCAATTAATTGGTATCACCTATGTTAATCTTTTGAGATAACTTTTTTTCATATTATTTTTATTTACACATGTAAACCGATACATGGGAAGATTGACACTAGGGGTGTTCATGGTTCGGTTTGGATCGATTTTTCCCTAAAAAGAAACCAACCCAAGTAAGTCGGTTTTTCAAATATTAGAACCAAACAAAACCAATTAAGTCAGTTTTTTCTCGATTCGGTTTATGTCGGTTTTTCGGTTTTTTCGGTTATTTATCGGTTTTTTCTTAAATATAAGACATATACTACCAAACACATATTCCGGAGACCACATTTTCAATGTAACACTATCAAATTAATTGCACTTTGAGAAATCTATTATTTAACAAAATATATTGATGATAATTGAATCAAATAGTGATGAATAATTTAAGGACTCAATTAAAAATATATTATTTTTAACACGAAATGGATTCTTACACTTGACAAAAGAAAACTACCAATCAAACTAGAATGTAAAGGTAAAGAACTATACTTAAAGTGCAAACTATTAACATTTACCATTAAATTTTTGAAACTTTATATAAAAATATACATATATATAGGTGTAATAATAAATTTGAAATAGCTACTCCTATAGTCGGTTTGGTTCGATCTTTTTCTGATTAAAATCAAAACCAAACCAAATTTGACCGATTTTTAAAATTCAAACCCAAAACCAAACCAAACCAAAAAGTATCGATTTTTTTGGTCGGTTTGGTTTGGTTTCGGTTTGGTTCGGTTTTTTGGGTTTTTATGAACACCCCTAATTGACACAAATCATGCCCAAACCATATCATTTATTTTATCTTTTACTGTGTTTTAGGCTTATCTATATAGGTTGTGTTTATTATGACGGAAAATCTTTTTTTATTTTTCACTGTTTGATTGCACAAAAGAGTTAGAAAAATATTTTTCTAGATATTTCATTTTCCTAAAATTGGAGGAAAATGACTTTCCTACAAAAAAATTAGGAAAACATTTTCTAAAAATACCAGCAACCCTCACATCTCACCCAACCCCTCCCCCTTCTCTCCCCTCCCCACCCTCCACCCCCTCTCTCCCAAAAGTTTTTTTTTTTCAGATTTCAGTTTCCTTTTGCTTTTACTAAGTTTGGGGGTTCGAAAGTTTAGCGGTTCGAAGGTGTAAACAATAAATTTGCGTCGAGAAAATAAAATCAAGACCGAAAAATATTGCAACAATCGTAGTATTTTATTTCAAATATTTGAGTGTACAATCTCTATGATTCCTCTGATTCTTCTTTTCAATAGTAAATAAATTCAAGGGCCTTTGAGCTTGATCTTATGATCTTGTTCTTGAGCTTGACTTTGATTGCTTGAACTTAACCTTGATCCGTTCTTCGTTCTTGAGCTTGAACTTGATGTCTTGAACTTGAACTTGATTGCTTGAAGCTTGAAACTTGTAGAGAAATTTGTGGCGTTTGATCCACGAGCTCTCTCTTGCTTTTTGTTATAACTTCTGGTGTCTTTTCTGAGTTAAGAAGACCCCTATTTATAGTTGTGGAAGGGAGGAGTTGTGATAAGAACAAACTCTTTCCGACCAATCAAATTGAAGTATGACATGGCCGCATTTGATTGGCCAGAACATGTCACTTGCACATGTGGCGCGATTTAATTGGCCTTTCAGTGTGACTAGGCATGCCTTGTCATTTTGACACGTGGCATGATCCTATTGGCTCTTCCGCTTGACTTGGCGCGCCACGTCATTTGACACGTGGCACCAAACTGGGCCTTTAGGAAGATGTCATCTTGGGCTTAATGAAGTGGGCTCATCACTTTAGCCCAATAAAATGGGCAGCCCAATGGATTAAGACTTATTTATTTAATCCATATATATATATTTGGACTTATATAATTAATTCAATTATATTAGTCTGTAGTATTTATTTGGACTAATATATCTTGAATTTAAAATATAGTCCAAATTATTTTATGAAGTTAATTTTAAGTAAAATCTATGTGCCTATAAATGCCCCCTACTTCAAGGCTCGTTGAAGTATAGACTTGTCAAAACCGAAAACGGGTAATGAAGTACTGGCGGTCTATCAAATTTGGCATAGACCAGTTTAGAGCACAAAACATTGTCCATGCGATTTTATTATGTGTACACCTGGTCAATTATTTACACAATATAATGACCATTTAATTTAATAGGGATAAGACAAAATATTGAAAATTATGATTTCAATATGAAACTTGCCGCCTGAACATGATCTCCTACGATTCCTTTTGGGAAAAGGAAGTGTTTGCCACCTGACACAATTTTGTAGTATTAACTTTGCAATTCTTACAACAATTCGAGTCCATCTTGGATTCGTTGTCGCGCCGTAAACAAATCAGAGTCCTTTTAGGAGTTCCCTTTATAATTTCAGTCCCACATCGGCAATATACTATTGTAAGCATCCTATGGAGATCTATATAAACCCCTGGGCTCTAATTTGTTGAGAGTCAATTCGCAGTATTTGCAAGTTACTTGAGTCTATTTTTGTGCACTCGGGAGCATTGACGTGAAGATAATTTCTTCTTCTTTTCTTGTGCTTTCTTCTTTGTTTTACTTTGTTGTCTCTTTCTTTCCTTTTAGAAGTAACTTCGTTAAACTACGAAGTCCTTTAAAAGTTCGAGATGAAGGCCTTTAAAGTTCGAGATGAAGGTTTTTAAAAGTTCGTGATGAAGACCTTTAAAATTTGCGGTGAAGACCTTTAAAAGTTCGCGCAATGATCCTTAAAAGCTCGTGGTCAAGACCTTTAAAAGTTCGCGGTGAAGACCTTTAAAAGTTCGCGCAATGATCCTTAGAAGCTCGTGGTCAAGACCTTTAAAAGTTCGCGGTGAAGACCTTTAAAAGCTCGCGGTGGAGACCTTTAAAAGTTCGTGACGAATACCTTTAAAATTTGCGGGAAAGACCCATAAAAGTTCGTGCGAAGATCCTTAAAAGCTGGTGGTAGAAATCCTTAAAAGTCAGCAGGGACCCTTTAAAATTTGCCACGAGCAACTTTAAAAATTCAAAGCATACGCCTTAAAAGTGCAGAACGAAAACCTTAAAAATCCGACTGCCTTTAAAAGTTCGAGGCGAACACCTTTAAAAGTTCGCAATCAAAACCTTTAAAACTTCGGATGCCTTTAAAAGTTCGAGATGAACACCTTTAAAAGTTCACAACGAAAATCGTTAAAAACTCGGATGCCTTTAAAAGTTCGAGACGAATACCTTTAAAAGTTCGCAAGGAAAATCGTTAAAAGAAGTCCGACACAGACATCCCCTCTGAGGCGCCCTTTTTTTTTTATTATTATTACTTATCTATGCTCTCTTTCAAGGTTGCGATTGTTACTTTTTCCTTTTTGACTTAGGTACTAATAATTTTTTTTTTGCAGCTTGAACATGGTTTACTTTAGAGACTCAGCATCCTCTTCCTCCACGTCCAAGTATCTTGTAATTTCAGAGCACAAGGATAGTAAAACGGAGACCAAATTACTAGTTGACACAACA